CAATAGGGTGATGGATGTTCACAGCCCATTTGCTCTCACATGGATTCTCCAAAAAAGCTGAGTGCACTCAGAAGGTACATCATTCTGAATTTCCCATCGTTGAGAGTCACAAGTGGCCTGAGCTCCAGTTGTGCTTCCTGGCATCTGCACAGTAGAAGGCGACCATCCACCCATCATCTTTTTTATTTGTATGCCACCTTTCCATAGTTAAACCCATGCTCAAGGTGGCTTACAACACACACACCCCAACAACACCTTAGCGCAAGAGTCTGCTCAGTAGCTTCAACATTTGTAGCTGGAGTCAGACAGGACCCTGCCCTCCCAGGCCAGGTGGATAAAGGAAAGGAAGGAAGTATGTCTCCCAGGTTTCACAGCCAAGGTAAGACCAATGCAGAGAGCAAAGCTTGCAAGACACAAGACTAATTGGTGTGAGGTCGTCCCATGACAGGCAGCATCTATCTTGCTCCTCAACCAGTAAAATTTCCCCGAATGGCATGCAGCTAAAAAACGCTGAGCCAAGAGTCAGAGAAGATCCCATTGATTTCTGCTCTTAAAAGACTGTGGCATTAAATTATTAGAGATCAGAAGAAACTCATTGACCATGGAAATTCTCTCCATCGAAGAGATAATATGCCTATTGCAACCTCTGGGACCTTGTTTGAGACCTTTAAGTGCTACTATTCCTTCAAGGGCTTCCCTTAGTAAACATCTGCTGTGGAGAAGTATTGGACTCCAGCTGTTTGCAGCTGTAAAGCCTTGAATGCCTAATATTTACACAGTGGGGGGTAGGCTGCATTCACAGCTGTGTTCCCCTCCTGAATTCCTTTCTCCACTTGAACTCCCCCCCCCCGCACCCCCCATGAAACAAAAACCCCAAACTGAATAGCTCACCCAGGAAAACTTTTGTTGTGATTGAATTACAAGGAGCCTTAAAACGCCACAAAATTGCAGCTGCAACATTCTCAGGAAAGTTGTGCAAGGCCGGAGTAGGCAAGGAAAAGTGAGCGATTTGCAAAACTAGTTTACTGAAGGCTTGCTACATGAATGTTTAGAAAGTCGGCAGCACAGGGGCAGACGAGTGGAGAGGCAGCCCACAAATGATGAATAGCTTTCTGCTACTCAGACAGTTTTAAACAATTGGTGCACGTGTGTGTGCACACAGAACAAGCCCCCAGCACGGGATCAAGCGATTCTTCTTGTTTTCTGCTTGATGCTTTACAAACAGCCAGTAGAGACAGGATCTGAATTTAATGCTGTTAAAGAAATAACTGCAGAGCAGACAAAGCTACCAACAATGCTCAGCCATAGTTTGTTTTCTGTGCCACAGTTTTGCTCTGGAACATCTGCAGGGAACAGTATGCAACCAGTTCCAGATTGCTAGTCATTGGAGTGAGTGGGCTGTCCGTAGACACCTTGAAGAAGTATGAGACCTTGAAGAAGCTGTGAAATTCCAGGAAGGAGGGAACCCAGGAAGGAGAGAACTGAGTGTGTTGAGTCTCTCCTAGCAGAAGATCCTCATTGATCCACAATGGGTTTCCAAGGGGTAACTGTGTGTGTGCAAAAGCAGATATCTGAATTGACCAACACAGCCCTGTATTGTCACCTTTTCTCTTCTGATCAAGCATACACCATCTAGGAGAACTTCTAAAAGGCTCTTGGGGAAAAGTAATTTAGGAGGAGTTGGTCCTCTGATCTCCTTACATTCCCCCCCCCCCGTATTCTATTCAGGTTGGAACCTTCCCAAGGGTTTTGGAAAGAAGCTTCTCAAGGGTTTTGGAAAGAAGCTGGATAAATGCTATTCTATTCCTCTTCAGGTGCCACCACTGGAATTGGCCCTCCAATCTGTTAACATTTGCCTGCAGTTGCACAGCAGAATCTACAAATCTTCATCTTCAGAATGGAAGGTTGTTGCTGGGTTGGTTGGTGAGAGTCCAGACATTCTAAATCATCCTTCTCCAATCTGATGCCCTACAGATGTTTTGGACTATAACTCCTATCCCCAACTTGCTTCTCCTGTGGGCATGCATGATGGGAGTTGTAGCCCAATAACATCTGGAGGACACCAGCTTTTGGAATTCTGCTCTAAACTGTCTAGAATGGGTACCCATCTTAAAGGAACTAGTAAGAAGAAAAGAGTGTCCTTCATCATGTGCACCACAGACACACCCATTTACATGCATACTAACATAAAATTAGAGGGATTGTGATTTTAGATCAGAGGGAAGCTTCCAGGCATAATTGTGAGTCTTCTCTTCATCTCTCATCTTAGAAATTAGCCACAATCCAGAGGATCTGTTTAATCAAAGATCCCTGGAAATGTTTCAGAATTTGAGCTTAGAAGTTTGCCAGCAAGTGGTTCCTTTCCTCCCTTTCTATTTTTGGGAAATGTTCCACAGATCTTTGATCTATGGGGCTCTCCTCCTGTTCCTAGAAGAGATTGCAGAAAACAGTAATAAAATAATAAATAATAAAATAAATAAATAAAATAAATAAGCCAACCTCCCAGATATCAGGGTCAACATTGCACAGCAACTTTCAACCACTTACTGCAGTCCCTTCTCACCTTGGTCAGAAATACATTCTTTCATAATATACCATGGTAAATTCAGATAACAAGTTCTGCATTCCTCATTTTCCTATCTGAAGAGGGTCAGAGCATGATTGCCACCATAGCAACCACACTTTCAAAAACTCTGGTTGGAAAGCAAAACTCCTGCATATTTTGGGCCAAATCTGAATTTGAGCCAGGGATGATTGCAGTGCCTGTAAAATAAGGAAGTGTGCAGAACAAATACATCTGGAATTATGGGCCATGAGAGCTTATGTGGTTGCCTTTGTCAGAGTCTTGGTCCAACTAACTCTGTACCAACAACTCTGATTGAAACTCTGATCTAGAAACTCAGGCCTTGCTCCCTGAGATCTTCCAGATTAAGATACCTGCAACTGAATCTGGGATCCTGTGCATTCAAAGCATGCACTTCACTGTTGGGAAGTGGCTCCTTCACTGGTTCAGCAAACTTGTAGCGGTCTCAGCACATGACTTAAGTCTCAGCACATGACTTAAGCCTTGGGGAGATGTGTTCAGGAAACTTTCCATTGGGATTCCCAACACTTAATGGACAAAAGGATATATCTTTGTGCTACTTCACATGCTGCAATTTCCTAAAACCACTTCCCCATGGAGCAAATGTGTGAAACTTGCAGGGAACTCAGCATGTGCGAATGACGCAACATGTGTCTGACTCGCTGTGGATATGCGCATTGGCTGGCTTCAACTTGTGCACAACACAGAACAATAGATTCATTGTAGAGTTGGAAGCAACCACAAGAGTCATCTAGTCCAATCCCCAGCAATACAGGAATCTTGTTGTCCAACCTGGGGCTAGAACACACAACCCTGGAATTAAGAGTCTCATGTTCTACCAACTGAACAATCCCACCAGCTTTAAAATGTGTACACAGTGAAGGTACCTCACATGCAAGTGTACCCCACGCATGCAGAGTGAATCCAGGGCTGCCAGGTGTGTGTGACAATTTCTTTACACCCTGACTTCATGCGCTTTCCTACATGAAAGCATTCCCCATGTCGGAATTTGTAATGTTTGAATGTGGCCCTGGATGTGTGACTTTTGAAAGATTCAGATGCACTCATGCAACTAATCCAACCTCCTGTGACCATGAATGTATGTTTCTGGATCTGCATGTGTCCACTCAGCTAATGTTCACAATTTCAGAACTAGTATGGACTGCACAACAGCTGCTGCAATCTTTGCAGGAGTGGTATGTATGTGTGTTTGTATGAAAGACACGGCGGGGTGTGTGTGTGTGTGTGTGTGGCCTTCTGCAAAACTACTCCCTGGACCTCTAGTTGTTCCTCAGAGTGTCAACAGACTTGCCCTATGCTGGGAAAACAAACCTTTAAGTGGGGCACACAAGGTCTGCAGCCAAAAGCAAGATGGCCAGCTGGCAGCTGCTATGAATCACAGAATCATAGAATTGTAGAGTCCGACTCCCTGCAATGCAGGAATATGGTAAAGGTAAATGACCCCTTGACAGTTAAATCCAGTCAAAGGCAACTATGGGGTTGCAGTGCTCATCTCACTTCAGGCTGAGGGAGCTGGTGTTTGACCATATGTGGCCAGCATGACTAAACCGTTTCTGGCACAACAGAACACCGCGACGGAAACCAGTGCGCATGGAAATGCCATTTACCTTCCTGCCGCAGTGGTACCTATTTATCTACTTGCACTGGCCTGCTTTTGAACTGCTAGGTTGGCAGGAGCTGGGACAGAGCAACAGGAGCGCACCTGGATGCGCAGATTCAAACTGTCGAACTTCTGATCGGCAAGCCCAAGAGGCTCAGTGGTTTAGACCACAGTGCCACCCACATCCCCCCTTTTTTACCTGCAGGAATATACAGCTGCCCCATACCAGGATCAAACCTGCAACCTAGGCGTTATCAGTATCATCCTCTAACCAACTGAGCTCTCCAGGCTGATGAGCTCCATAGACAGTTCTTGCTTCACAAAAGCCAAGTCTTGTAGCGCCATAAATATTTGCCATTTATTACTTCCACACACTAGACACCACTTCATCAGTCGCTTCAAAAGTTCTGCATTTATCGCACTGAATGCAGGTCTAGTTACATGAGCCGAGGGGAGAGGGGCACTCCAAGCCCACCATCGACACATGCACCAATGCATTGCGCATGGCGTGTTGCCAACAGAGACCCTGCACATGGCATCCTGGAGAGATCATGCATTGTGTGAGCGATTATTTGCATGACCATTCCCAGTGCAACCTGTAGTGCGTCAAGCAGCCTCAGAAGTCCTTTGAGGCGGAGGAGTTGCTTTCATCCCCTCACTCCAATTGCCCTCTCTTACGCTTCTCCTCTCGAAAGTGCACCGCCTGAGAGGACATCCAGGGGGCGCGTTTCCACCACGCGCCCGGTCAGTTTCACACACCAGGAGCAAAAGTTGCGAGAAAGAAGAGGCACTCACCATCTCTCCGCAGGTTCGAAGCGCGCAAGGCTCGGATAGATCCGCTCTGGGCGCCGGCGCTGGAGACCTGTCGGTTGCAAAAGCTGGCGCAGATCGCAACGTAAAAGAGGAGATGCTCAAGCGGTTGCATTGGGACGCCTTGCTGCTTAGCGCAAAGTCTTTACTTTTTAAAAAAGTGAGGACGGATTCCTCTTCCAAATGGAATATCTCCCTGTTCGCGACGCTTTTAAAGCCTTCCCTTTGTCCCCTCCCGAGCTGACTCTCCAAACTCAACCCCGATGATGTCCAACATGAATGAACTCCCCCCTTCCCCGCCCTCCTCCCCTCTAAAGTGGCTGGCTGGCTGCAGGGACGATGAGGTGGGAAACCTCTTTGCCAAGTTACAACAGTTAGGAGAGGGAGGCGGGCAAACGGACAGGTTACCCTCCTCCGCCAGCCCTCCAGGCTTCCTGCGCTCCACCGGCAGCTCCGCTTAAGCAGTGGGGGCGGGAAGTGATCCTGCCGAGGGATCTGGCTCCGGAGACTCTGCAGGGGGTGGGGTGGGGCTGCTTCATCCAGCTGCAGGCTCGCAACGCCCCCCTCGCCTTCGCCAGGGTGGATAGCGCCCCCCGTCCCGCGCCTGAGCTGCGCGCCAGGCTCTGCCCGATCCGGCGGGGAGCGCTCAGAATCGGGCGAGGGGGTCTCTCTTCTCGCTCGGGCAATCGAGCATCTCCGCTCGGGGGGCCGGAGGCGCTAGGCGAGGTGCTCTGGAGGAGCGATCGCGAGCTTTTGGCTGGCTGGCTCGCTTTCTTTTCTTTTTTTGCGCGCGGAAGGGAAACGCGCCGGAGACGGCGCCCCAGGGAGGAAAGGAGGTGGCGGCGGCGGCCCCGGCGCCTCTGGCCACTGGGGCAAGGGAGGCGGCGGAGCAGCCGGACGGGGAGGAGGGGAAGGAGGGAAGTCGTCTGCTTTCAGAGCAACCTGCGGGGAGATCCCCTCTCAGGGATCCCAGCAGCCAGCAAACTCTCAATGCCTTGGGAAGGTTGGGGAATCCGCAAATTGTCTCTTTGATGCTAGCTCAGTTGGTAGAACATGAGACGCCTGATCTCCAGGTCCTGGGTTTGAGCCCCACGTTAGGCAAAAGTTTCTAGCACTGCTGGGGGTTGAGCTAGATGACCCTCGCGGTCCCTTCCAACCGAGGTGCCAGGTTGAATAAAATATTGGGCGAGAGGGGGGAAGGTACGCCCCGCCCTAAATAATCTATTGCAAACTGTGGTGCACACACACAATTTGAATGGCAATGCCCATCAACTGGGGGGGGGCTCAAATATTTTTTTTTTGGGGGGGGCAAAAGGATCTCGGGCCCTAGGAGTTGGCTCCTCTTTTCCCAACTCTACAATTTGATGGCTTGATGACGCATCAGAGACATCCAGGTTTGATGGTTTTGACACATTTCTAGCCCACCTTTTGGCCCCAAGGAGTTCAAGGTGGCCTACATGGTTCTCCCCTTCCTCATTTAATTGACACAGCAGCCCTGCATGGCTGAGAGGCCCTGACTAGCCCAAGGTCACCTGGTGAGCTCCATATAGTTGTAGGATCCAGGCATAGGCAAACTCTGGCCTTCCAAATGTTTGGGACTACAATTCCCATCATCCCTAGCTAACAGGACCAGTGGTCAGGGATGATGGGACTTGTAGTCCCAAACATTTGGAGGGCCGGAGTTTGCCTATGCCTAATGTTGCCTGATAGTGAGCCTGACCGATGGTCCATCCAGTTCAGTATTATGATAGAATCGTAGAATTGGGATGCTGAGAGTCATCGAGTCCAACCCACTGCCATGCAGGAAGCATCCTTTGAGAAAAAGTGGTGTCCCCTTAAGGAAAGGTCTGTGGCTCAGTGTTAGAGCTTCAGTCCATGCCGGCTCAGTCCACAGCATCTCAAGGTAGGGCTGGGAATGTCTTCTGCCTGAAACCTGGAAGAGGGCCACAGCTAGCGGTGGAACATCTGCTTTTCAGAAGGTTCCAGGTTCAGTTCCTGGCAAGACCCCTGCCTGAAACTCTAGAGCTGCTGCCTGTCCATGTAGGCAATTCTGAGCTAGATGGACCAGTGGTTTCTATGCTAGGTATAGAGCAGATAGGGGCATCCCTTCCCTCCCATCTTGCTTAGTTTCTGGGTGCAGAAGAGGGACAGAAGGTCCCTTTCTTCCTCTGCTAAGCCACTCATTTCCTCACTTCCATGTTGTTTCTGGTTGCTCCCATCATCCCCAGCCAGCCAAGCCAATGGGTAGGGATGATGGAGGCTGCCATCCAGTAATAACTGGGGATCCCAGGTCTAGGTGTCCCCTGAAGACATTAGAAGTCTCCAGGTTCTCTCCCAGGCCTACCTGAAGATGTCGGGGATTGGACTTGGGCACACAAAGCTGATGCTCTATCACTGAGCCAAGGCCCTTCCCTAAAGAGAGAGGAGTGCATTAAAACACTTTGTCATCCCAGTAGAACTACCACTGAGCCACAGTCCTCCCCCTACCCACAGTGTGATAACTCCATTAGATTGTCACTCAAGGCAGCCATTCTACAGACTCACTTGGTAGGAGAGATGGAAAGCTGGGATTATTCCAACAGCTTTGCTGAAAGACCAACTGTGTCACACTCCTCTCACCCCTGAACTATCCCTGCTGGTCTTTATAAGAACAGGAATTGGTCCTTGAGTTTTATTTCTGCCTCTTCTCTCCTCGTCCCTTTCCCCTTGTGTGTTGGGTTGGATCCCCCCCCCCCCCGATTGTTAACTTGCAGGCAGGGACAGTCTCATTTTAACTGATTGCATGTAATCTACTCTGGGAGAGTTTCTGGCCAAAAAGCAAGTTATGGATGCACTATATGAAGAAATAAAAATCCAAACTGTTTAAAACAGGACTTTTGCAGTTAGGAAAGTGGTGGGGAAATGCACTGTGAAAAGTGTGAGATGGAAGAAGGATCCATGTATTAACACCCAACAAGCAAATCCACCCAGGTGAGATGTTTCAGTTGGTAGAACATGAGACTCTTTTTAAAAAAAAATAAGATATTTATTAGCGTTTTACAAAAAACATAGGTTTACAAAATAAAAGGAATTAAAACAGAAATTAACATACTAAAGAGAAAAACATAGAAGAGAAAAAAAGAAATACAAAATACAAAAAACAAGTAGCTAAGAAAAATTTTAAAAATAAATCCATTTTTCAATATCTTTAAGTTCATTTGCTTATTTCCTTGACCTCCTCACACCTCCCCTTTTTGTATTCCCATTTACATAATCAATTCAGCAAATCCTTGCTCTCTTTCATTTATCTTAATTCTATATCTTAACCTATTATAACTATGCATTTTCATCCATTATCAATCCATATTTGCATATTCTTGTTAACCTTTTTACCAATACCACTTATTTTCAATCCAACATCATTTTAACATTCATTAATTTTACAGTATTTCTGCAAGTAGTCCTTAAATTTCTTCCAATCTTCTTCCACCAACACTTCTCCCTGGTCTCGGATTCTGCCAGTCATTTCTGCCAATTCCATATAGTCCATCACCTTCATCTGCCACTCTTCCAGAGTGGGTAAATCTTCTGTCTTCCAATACTTTGCAATAAGTATTCTTGCTGCTGTTGTTGCATACATAAAGAAAGTTCTATCCTTCTTTGGCACCAATTGGCCGACTATGCCCAAAAGAAAGGCCTCTGGTTTCTTCAGGAAGGTATATTTAAATACCTTTTTCATTTCATTATAGATCATCAGAACATGAGACTCTTAATCCCAAGGTTCGTGAGTTTGAGTCCCAGCTTGGGCAAAAGATTGCTGCGCCGCAGGGGGCTGGACTAAATGACCCTCGTGGTCCCTTCCAACTCTACAATTCTATGATTCTAAATCAGAACAAATGTCCAACAGAAAACAGATAATATAGCCTAACTTCTGTGCAAGCAATCAGGAGGAATGTTCAAATAAACAAGTCATCTTTAGGGGTCCAAATTTTCGTTCATGCATATCATCACTTACTTGCAATAGATCTGGGCTAAAGTATTTACTGAAAAGCAAAAAAAGATAAGTGATCAGAAAGTCTGATACTTGGGTATTTTCATATTATGAAGTTCTTGGATTCCTCCCCCCGCCCCCCGCAGCCACTGCCTTCCTAGCCAATTATGGTACCAGCTTGAGGGATGAAAGGACAGATTTCAAAGGCTGAGAGTGCCAAATATCCCAGAACCAGAAGAGCAAAGGGATAAAGTGAACTCCGAGGATGACAGCTGTTGGAAGGAAGCCAGTCACATAAAGATGCTGGCCCCGGAATACCAGAAGCGACTGGCATGCGTCCCAAATCAATTAAGGAAGATTACTGCAGCATAGGCAATATACTTGTCTCCCACAGCAGAAAATGTAGATAGCAAAGTTAAAAAGCGAAGAGAAATGTTAACTAATGAAATCAAGAAAGGAAACCTATGGATATTTGAATTGCAAAATTAGGTACGGTGGGTTAATTTTTTTATTTTTTTATTTAAGGCAGTAGGATATGAAATTCTCACACAAATTGAAGGGCTGGTACATACTGGAAAGATTGGATTCGCAGATCATATAGACAGATTTATACTGCTTCAAATCTTATATGATTTCTCTCAAGGGAAAACCATTAAGCTGTGCAGTTCTGTCAGCAACCATGCATGTCAACACCTGGGTGCATTTTTTTAAATAAAAAAAACTAAAGAAAAAGATTGAATAGAAACATTTTTTAAAAAAATGTAAGCAAAGGGAAAACAGTATTCCCAAGTGCCTACTCTGATTTATGCCTCAGCCTCATAACATCCAGATGTTTTGGCCAACAATCTAGGAATATAGGAAGCTGTCTTTTAATGAGTGAGATTGTTGGGTCCATCTAATTCAGTATCGTCCACACTGACTGTCAGTGGTTCTCCATCATTTCAGGCAGGTGTCTCTCCCACCTTACCTGGAGGTGCTGGAGATGAAGCCTGGGACCTTCTGCATCCAAGTCAGATTCTCTACTCCTTCAAGCATCCCTGACCATCAGCCATTCCAGCCAGGGCTAATGGGTCCTGGAGCCCAAAACATTTGTGAAGGCACCAAGCTGGGAAAAGCTGGTCTTGCCATCTGCAGAACAGGTATGGGGAGATTCTTTAACACCAAGAAGGGAGGCTAAGCAAGGTAGATCTCCCTCTGGTAGCCCCTGCAGTTCTGCCCCTCCTTTCTTTATACTTAGATGGCTAAGACCAACATCCTGGGTTAGGACATCGCCAGCATCAACACAGTTGAAGTGGTAGACGATTTCATCTATCTGGGTTCCACCATAACCAGCTGTGCTGGTCCCGGGGGGTTACCGTGCACCGTGGTCCAAGTCCAGTCCAAGGTTGAGGGTGTGGTATGGAGGCTGTCCGTCAAGGCTAAAGCGGGGTCCAAGGCAAGGAGTCAGGTGAGGTCAGGAACTCTGGCAGAAGAGCAGGACAGGGTGCAGCCAGGAACAGGCTACCAACAACGTTGCTCCCGCAACCTGGGACTGGGCTGGCTGGCTTTTATCTGCCCCGAGGCATAGGGCGGTCCGGGTCCACAGGTGACTCATCTCTCCTGGCCTGGAGGCGAGCACCTGCAGGCAATGGGTCCTCGGTCACCTCCGTAGCCAGAGCGGATTCAGCTGGTGTCTGCTCCTGAGGATCCGGCACAGGTGAGGGCCCTTCAGGTTCAAGCCCCAGCCCCGGCTCAGCTGGTCCTGGAGGCTGGGACTCCTGTGCAGGCTGGGATTCCTCAGGTTCAGCCTCTGAATCTGATTCCCAGGCCATCACACCAGCAAGCTTTCCATCGATGCTGAGTTGGACAAGCGTATTTGCAATGGAGCTATGGTACTGGTTCGCCTATCCAAAAGGGT